CGGGCATGCCTGTGACTCCAGCCTTGAAAGGCAGAGCAAGGTGTTTGGCAAGAGGAGGCATATCAGGGAGCCCGAGGCTGGACCCAAAGAAAGGCCCTCAATGACAACGGCAGTCCAACAGGATGTCCAGCTCTCCACACGCATGTGACATGCATGTACTATGCAAAATACGCACACACACGCCCACCTCACACACACACACACACACGAAACTGAAAAAAGGAAAAAAAAAAAGAGTGAAGTGAGCGCTCACCTTCAGCCCTATGCACACTCAGTGGCTAAAGCAATCATCTTGTTCTTCTCTGAGCCCCTGGATACACACACCCCGTGCACGCGCACACACACTCACATGCACGCCCACGCACACCGAACCAGCCTCCCAGCCCCGGTCACCTTGCCCTCACAGTCCCCAGGCTGGACATTGATGAGCAGGGAGTTGGCCACTGGGAGTCCCTGGTGGTAGAAGTAGGCCACAAAGTAGAAGGAGGGCGCCAGGCGGTGGTCCACAAACACGGAGACGGAGGTCACGGTCCTTCTGTGCTCCCGGCTGGCAGCCACGATCTGGCCCCGGGAGACGAGCTGGGCCGAGAAAGAACAGTGAGGGCCCTCCTGCTCCGGTACGCCTGCCCCAGCCCTCGGCCTGTGGCCAGCCCTGCGCACCCCGGAGCCCACACACCATGTAGTAGTAGTGAGAGAAAGTAGCCCCTTGGGTGCCCACAGTTCGCAGGTTCAGGATAAGGGTGTCCCCCACACTCGGGGGCCGGAGGTCGAGCGGCTCAATGGACAGAAAGCCGGAGCTTCTGGAAGGCGGGGCTTGCACGGTGAGCCTGGCGACGGCTGGGTACAGCGAGCCCGCAGACACCTGCAGAGAAGGGCGGGGCTCCATGCCAAGGACCCACAGATGCCACCCTTCCTCCCAAGCTCCACCCGAGGCACACAGGGAACAACGGCCCTGCCAGGTGCCCACCCCTAGGCTCAGAGCCGCATTACCAAGAGCTGAAGCTCTGTGATGGTCGGCGGGACCGGCACGGGAATGCTGACTTGGCCAAGCCTGTTGGTGTCCTGTTGAAAGTCGAGGACTTTTGAGTCAGAGCCAGACAGCAACGTAGCAGAAACCTTGACGGGAGTGTCAGGGGCCACGGAGCCTGACATTTCTCGGACCAGGGCCTGGAGGAGCAAAGAGAGGCATGGTCAAGGTGGTGTGGGCCAAACCCTCTCCCCTCCGGCCCTGCCTTTCCGAGAGGGACCTGCAGCAGGAAGGGAGCCCCAGGCACAAGATGCTGCTTGCTGTTGCTGAGATCCAGGGAGAAGGCAGAGGACACGAAGCGCCAGGACGTGAGCTCCGCCTCCTCCATCTCTCCACCTGCAAGACAGAGGGCGCGTGTGTGTGTTGTGTGTGTGTGTGTGTGTGTGTGTGTGTGTGTGTGTGTGTGTGTGTGTGTGTGTAGAGTGAAGAGACAAAGGATGCAAAACAATTCACTAAGAGGATATGGGGACGGTAGGACCAGGCTGGAGAGGGCTGGGCTTCTGGGTCTGAGATGAGGTGGTGGAGGTCAAGGTGTATCCTGGGGCCACCCCCAGGCCCACCTGGGGACTCGATGACGGCTGCCGCGGTGTAGAGACGCATCCCCTCCAGGTCTCTGAGCCCAGTGTTGAGCCTGTCCAGGGCAGCCTGGAACTGCTCCCTTGAGATGGAAACGTGGCTCTGGCCTTCCACCAACTACGACAGAGAGAGCGGGGTGTGAGTGAGGCCAGAGCACCCCCCTTCCACTCGTGTCGCCTCCCTCCCCACTCTCCTACCTTGGTCTGGCTCTCTAGGCCCCGAAGGAAAGTCTTCTTCCCATGCTCGTCCATGAGTGCAAAGCGGGTGTAAGCCACGCCCTTCACGGGCTTCCCGTAGACATACCTGTTGCCACAGGGCACAACCGCAAAGACCTGAGTTCAGTGCCCCAGAATCCACGTCAAAGTGCCAGGTGTGGCAGTGCCCACTTGTAACTCCAGCAGTGGAAAGGAGGGGGGGGGGTCTGAGGCCTAGCTCAGTTCCTGTGTCTGAAGGAGAGGGATAGAGTTCCTAAGGATGACACCTGTGGGTGACCTCTGGCCTCCACGGACATGAACACACACGGCCCTCACACACACACACACACACACACACACACCTTTAATCCCAGCGCTTAGGAGGCAGAGGCAGGTGGATCTCTGTGAGTTCAAGGCCAGCCAGGTCTACAGAGCGAATATCCAGTTTTGCCTCAAAGGTCAAAAGCATAGAAAGAGGGAGCAGGAGGAGAGGCCAGGGTAGAAGGGAGCCCGGGGTGTGGGACAGAGGGTGTGTGTACCTGGCCTGGATGTCCAGCTGGATTTCATCAGCGTTGTTGGGCACAGTCAGGATATATGGCTTCCTGGGAGTAATCTTCACTTCAAAGTTGGGAAGGACTGAATGAAGGTGAAGAGATGGTGGGCCAGGTACGAGAGAAGGGGTCCTCCCATACCCCCTCCCCCAGGGCCAGCCTGCCCCAGCCCTTTCTCCACCCGTACTTCAGCACTTACCATATTTCTTCACTTCAAAGTGGGTACTGCTGTTGGACTGCAGGCTGTCTGAGAATCTTGCCGAGATCTTCCAGGTCCCTGGCCTGAGAACGGTCAACAGCGGGAGTTGGTCCACCCACCCACCCACAGGCGGCCGTGGCCTGAGTGAGTCCAGGTTACCCACCCACAGGCGGCCGTGGCCTGAGTGAGTCCGGGCCACTCAAACACAGGCGGCCGTGGCCTGAGTGAGTCCGGGCCACCCAAACACAGGCGGCCGTGGCCTGAGTGAGTCCGGGCTACCCACCCACAAGCGGCCTTGGCCTGAATCTTACAGAAGAAAGCCGTGGTTTGACCAGAGGTTTGGGAGGGGCAGAGTCAAAACACCTGAACGTGCCCCTCGCCCAGTGCCGAGCGGAGCAGGACCTGGAGTGGTGTAGGTAGAGGGGTAGCCTTGGGTGGTGTAGATAGAGGGGCACCCTGGGGTGGGGTGCTCACTCTGAGATGTCTGGGATGATGAAGTCATCTTGGAAGATGGAGGTGGAGGCAAACACCTGCTTCTTGCGTACGCGGAGGCCATGGGAGTTCTGCAACGGGAATGGATGTGCTCAGGTGGGAGATCACGTCAGTGCACGGGGTCAGGGAGGTCAGGGGTCAGAGGTCAGGCACTCACCTCCACCGTAACCACAAGGGTGTCAATGGCTGGGCGCATCTTTTGATCCAGCGAAAAGACCCGGTATCGAACTAAGAGTGGAGAAGGAGAGGTAAGAGAGGAAGGGACAGGTGGGGAGGGACAGGACCACAGGGAGACAGTGGGACTGAACAGCCAACCCACCGTCCAGGACGGTGCCCTGTGTGGGGCGCTCTGGGAGAGAGGGCAGAGGCCTGAGGCCAGAGGCTCACCCCGCTGGCCAGGGTTATAAATAGGCTGGTCAGTCTGCACAAAGATGTGTCCGCGGCGAGAAGAGAAGAGCAGGTTGACACCTTGGGTGCTTATGCCTTTGGGCTCTAAGTTCTCTAGCCACGGAGACTGAGCCACCAGCTGGACGTGGGGGGCTCCGCGGAGGTCAAAGAGGCCACAGTCCCTCGCGTCCTTCAGTGGGACCTGGCAGGACAACAGAGGGAGCTGATCAGACAGGGCAGAAAAGAACGCAGGAATGCCAAGGCCATCGGGCTGGCAGAGAGAGGCGAGACGTCAGTGAGGAAGGACAGGGCCTGAAATAGCAAGATGGACCAGACTCGACAGCATCTGGCTGTAACCCCAGCCCTTGGGAGGCCACAGGACAGTGGCTGAGCGCTTACAGGAATGTAGTCTACACCCTGGAACCCTGTCTCAAAAGCAAAAATAAACAATAGAACAAGACAGAAAGAACCAGGTGTACTGGTAAGGCTGAGGCAAGAGGATTGCCGTGAGTTCGAAGCCAGCCCGTGCCACACAGCAAGCTCCCCTTTGTAACTGAGTAAACCAGCAGGCCTCAGGGCACAGCAGGGAGGCCTGAGAAAAAGCAGGGCTGTGGGCACTGGTTACCTCGAGGCTGAGAAGCACAAAGTCATTTCCTGAGCTGAGCACAAACGACTTCTTTGGGGAGCAGAGGCGACTGTTCAGGTTTCTCAGGAACACTGATCCACTCACTTTCTCTCCTGGACGGGCACCCTGGAGCTGCACCCCCACTGACAAGGGGACCCCCAAGTTAACCACAGAAGGGGAGAACAGCAGCAACCTGAGAGAGCAGCGAGGTACACCGTCAGACCCCGCCACCCTCACCCCTGCGCCCCCGACACCACGCTCCCCCTCATCCCCGTCCACCAAGCCCCGGCCAGAGTCTTCCCCAGGACCTGGGCTCCTGCAGAGACAAGGTAAAGACGCTCCACACCCAGGCCAGGCCGCAGAGGAGCCGCATGGCTGGGGACCCAGGAGAGACCAGAGCACTGGTCTCACCACCTACTCCCCTCTGGACAGCCTAGGGTTGGGGCAGAGTGTGACTCTGGACCTTGCTCCTCCCCTTGCCCAGATGAGCCGGGAAACCACGTGATGGCAAAGAAATGCAACTGGCCCTAAGCCCAGGGCTGGGGAAGCAGCCCAAACATCAGGGTCTCTGAAGAAATCTTGGCCCCAAAATGGATCTGTGCTTCCTTGTTTATTCCCATCCCAGGCACTCCCTTAACTGTGTGTGTGCGCGCACGCTCGCATGTATTCGTGTGCACGTGCTTGCCCATGTGTCTACCGTTCCAACATGGCACACGGACAGGCAGCCCCTGAGACCATTGCCTCCTACATTCAAGACAGTCGACTGCTCAACAAAGGCTCTAACAGAAAGCCTGGGGTCCAGAGGACGGGCCACACCCTCAGCCCCACAGGGAAAGCGGCCTGAGAAAGCCTTGCTCTCCCGAACTGTGGCGAAATGCTCAGCCCCAAGTGTGCTTTCACCCTGCGCACAAGGCCACCTGCACATGTCACGGCAAACAAAGGACAGGACAAGAAGCACAGGCACTTTATTTGGCAAGTCCAGCCTGACATGGAGGGGGAATTCTCTGCTTGCTTCCTCAGTGCCCCCTTGGCACGGCTCTGGCCCCACAGAAACGCCGCGCTGTAGGGCCCACGGCCCGGTCAGGTCGAAGCTCCCAGCAGCACGGCCCGGCCCCATCACGCAAGGCCTTTGGGCCACCCTGGGGCAGGGCTCCCAGGAACCGCATTCAGTGAGCTGAAGCGCTGGCTCCTCACGTGTCCGGCAGGCGAAGGAGGGTTCCAGAAGTGGTGGGGACACTGGGACAGAAAGGCAAGAGGAGCCAGCTGTCTAGGCCCAAAATGTACACACCCAGAACTTAGCAGCGTTCTCCCGAGTCCCAGAAAAATGAGAGACTGGGCTCTGCTGGCAAATGATGCAGGACCTGGGAAACCCACCCTTGAGGTCCCTGCAATTTTCCTGAGACCGGGGGCTAGACTCACCAGTCCACCAGCTGGGCCCCGATGAGGTCGTGCACGTGGTAGGCAAGGCCGAGCCGCACAGCGGAAGGGGGCCTGCGGCCCAGGAGCTCCGACAGGAGAAGCTCTCGGTACTTGGACTTCCGCACCATGCTGAGTACAGCCTGGCGCCCTGGAGGAGGGGTGGCCCAGAAAAGGAAGAGGGGAGTCAAATGCGGAGACCTAGACCCCACAGGTGTCCCGAGGTCTGAGGAACTGCGCGGCAGGCACCGGACCTTTCACAAACCACTTAATGAATCTCCCGGCTCCAGGCACAGCCAGCCACCAGCTCCCAGCATCTCGGACTGTGAGGACGCCAGCATTCACCAGGTGCCTGCGGGCGGAGGGGGTCAGAACCTGGCAGCCTGAGGACCCTCCCCTCCCTGACTGTTAATGCTCGGAGAGCAAGCGTCCAGAAACACAGGCAACCTGCTGGCTCCAGCACCCTGCCTCAGTGGCCCCTCTGCACTTGCTTCTCGGCAACCTCAGAGTGTGAGTGTGTTTGTGTGCGCACCCAGGGAGGGTGCGTAGAGCACACACGTGGGCAGGTACCCAAGCATGCAGAGGCCACAGGTTGACATCAAGTATGTGTAATCACCCTCGACCTTTTACAAAGACTTCTTTTTATGTATATTCGTGTTTTGACGACACATGTCTCTACACCACATGCATACGGTGTCTGTGGAGGCCAGAGAGGGTACTGGATCCCCTGAAACTGGGATTACAAACACTTGTGAGCCATTCTGTGGGTGCTGGCAATTAAACTTGGGTCTGTAGAAGAGCAGCCTTAACCACTTAACCACTGAGCCATCTCTCCAGCTCCCTTTTATTTTTTAAGATAGGGTCTCTCATGCAGCCCTGACTGTCCTGAAACTCACTCTGTAGACCAGGCTGACGTCAAGCTCAGAGCCGTCTGCCTCTGCCTCCCAAGCGCTGGGATTAAAGGTGTGCGCCACCATGGCCAGCCTGACCTTGTTTTTGTGCTAGCGTGAACCTGGAGCTCATTAGTTTGGCTACACTTTGTTAGCCAGTGAGCTTCCAGGATCCATTTGCCTCAGCCCTACTTTCGGCACTGGGGTTACAGACATCCCGCTGTGCTGGAACTGGGGGCTGGAACTCACTCAGGTCCTCCTGCTTACAGACACTCTAGCAACCATGCCGGCTCCAGAGTCACTCCTGCTAATGACTGCTTCTGTAGGCTTTCCCTGACCACGGCCCTGAAATGCGCCGAGGAGTCCCTGCTGCTTACTGGGGGAGATCAGCCATCTCACACACCAGCAAGTTAGAAAGCAGACACAGGCATGGTATTCCAAAATCCTTCTGTACTGAGACCTCACCTAGTGTTGCAGCTATTTGAGACAAAGCTGCAGCCATCTTTGTATTTAGCTTCCATTTTGTTTCTAAGGTGAAATTAAATTCAAATTTTTTAAACTTTTCAACTCTGCTTCGTGGAAGCGGTTGATCACAGAGCTGGCGCTAGCAGACCCTGCCAGATCTGGCCTTATATTTCACTATGATTCAATAGTGTTATGACTCACACTTTACTATCTGTCTGCTCACGTGGCTACACTCTGGCTGCACTCTTCTTCTCTATACGGCTGGCTACACTCTGGCTGCACTCTTCTTATCTATACAGCTGGCTACACTTTGGATGTACTCCAGAAGACACTAGCCCGGCCTCACTTACCTCCCTTAGCACCAATCAGCTTAAAGGTTAGCTGTTAATTTGTCTAGTCAGCCAAAACGGTAATATCGCTTTGTACCGTTAGCCAGAATGTGTTACTGCCCTCCCCGTGGCTTTGGCATTTGGTTCTTTCTATAAAAACCCTGCTGGGAGACCTGGTCCATGTCAGTGAGGCTCCGCTGTTCCCTTCTGCGCCCCTGGTCTGACCAGTCTTGGGTGTTGCGTTCAATGTTCACTAAGCCATCCGCACCTGAGAGCGGAGTCTGGAGGTGGGTGTGGCTAGTCTTAGGCTACAACACCTAGTGTCCCCTCTGACGCGGAGCCTGGGGTGCGCATCTGCAGCGACACGGCAGCCCTGTCAGCCTGCCTCACAGCTCCAGCTTAAGTCCTTCAGGGTCCTGCCAGCCTCATATTCCACAGGCCTCCAGCTCTCCTGGTCTCCAGCCCCAGGCTCCGCTTTCTTGCAGAATGGACTGTACCTCACTTTACTCATCGGAAAAGGCAACTCGCTGAGGAGACAGCGGAGGGTAGAGGGACAGGACAGGGCTGCCAGAGGCCTGACATGCCAAACCCCATCTCACGTGATCTCCGAGTCCCTGAAGCCATAAGTCTGTGTCATCTGGTCCTGCTGGAAACTAAGGTCCCCACAGGCGGGGAGCACGGAGGCCAGGAACTTCTGCACCGCCCCGGCACATGGTCGGCCATCACAGGCCTTGAGGACCTGGAAGAGAGTTGACCCCACCATGCTCATCCACCCACTTTCACCTCCAGGAGGGCATTTTCTTCCTCACCCCCCTCTTCCTTGGGTCCTTCTACTTCTCAAAGCCTCTCTTCCTGCTTCTTTCTTCCCTTCCCCCCACCTCACGCCTCACCAGAGCTGTATGCCCTCTCCAAGAGATGTGGGCTGGGGATGCTGTTCCTTTTGCCATTTCTATGCCCAACTTCCCTGTCCTCCCGTGCCCATCACACAAACACATACACATGCACACCACACCACACACACACACACACACACACACACACACACATACTCTGGTCCTGTAGTCTTCTGTGAAGACAATTCCGTGGGCATCCAAGTCAAAGCCTAGCTGGATGATTCTGATCTCTCCCCGCTCTTGAAGCTCCTTCTGTCTCCACAGAGATGAGCATGGAAAGAAAGGCAGGTGAGACGGGTAGCTGGATTCTGCGCACGGGGCAGGGGCTTTCCCAGTGTGTGTGTTGTGGGGCAGGGGCTGTGGAGGGTGAGGACACTGAAGGGAGAAACTCAGGCCACCCAGCAGCCTCTTCCGACTGGTCACCACCTTTCACATGCCAGCACGTCAAACCCTCAATATAAACACTTTCTAAGACCAGACCTTCACCAGTCACTAGTTAAATCATGACAGACACATGCACGCCTTTAATCCTGAACTGGTGAGGCGGGAGCAGCCTGGGCTACAGATCAACAAAAACTGTTAAAAAACATTAAAAAGCTCACTCGATCATAGGAATTACCAGATGGACATATTAAAACGGAAACAAAGAATGAGAGAAATGAAGGAGAGGGGCATTTGCTGACCTGAGCACATCTGCCCAGCACACGGCCAGAAATAACCAGCCACAGAGGAAGCGAAACTCAGAGGCCTGCGACCACAGGACAGGACAGCCACACTGGAGGAGGGCAGGCCTCTCGGAGAGGGCAGCTTGAGTGTATGTTCCCATGCTTTGGGCACCTTGCTTTGTTTTCTCTGTCTCCCACACCAGTCTCTAACCCGAGGACCCCGCTGGCTCAGCCTTCTGAGTGCCAGGATCACAATACCTGGCTAATTAGAACAACTCAGTAGGCATTTGGGGAAGAGCTAAGAGATGTGTTTTAAGGTTCCTGACATGCGTGAATGAAATGGGAGGTGAAGACGCTGACCTCTTTACCTGGGCATCACACACTATAAGCACATACGATATTACCCATCACACCTAGCTAGATGCATGACTACTTTTAAGTCCAAAAGACTTAAAATTTAACAAAACAATTATGCCACTAATGCTGAAATGTAAAAAGCCAACATGAGGAAAACTGGCAGACTTAGGGCTGGTAGGACAGCTCAGCGAGTGGGGCTGCTGAGCCTGAGGACCCAGTTCAGTCCCCGTGACCCGCACAGTGGGAGGACAGAGCTCAGCCCACAAGGTTTCCTCTGAGTCCCTCACCCTCACGCACTGTGGCACATGCGCACATATGCCCAGTAAGTACATACGTAATTTGGAAATAGAGCATCAGTGTGTAGCCCGAGCTGGCCTCAGCCCACAGAGAGCTGCCTTCCTCTACCTCCAGAGCGCTGGGATTAAAGACATATGCACTACACATTTGACATATGATAAAAAAATAATATAATAAAATGCTTAAAAAGATTCATGTTTAATTAACTATGTCCCAGCCAATTATGGTGTCATACACCTTTAAGATTTATTATTCCTACAGCATTCTGCCTGCATGTGAGCCAACAGGCCAGAAGAGGGTACCAGATCTCATCATGGATGGTTGTGAGCCACCCTGAGGTTGTTGGGAATTGAACTTAGGACCTCTGGAAGAACAGCCAGTGCTCTTAACCTCTGAGCCACCTCCCCAGCCCTGTCACATAGCTTTAATCCCAGCACTCAGCAGGCAGAGGCAGAGGCAGAGGCAGGTGGATCTCTATGAGTTCAAGGGTAAGCTGGTCTACAGAGTTCTAGGTCATCCAGGGCTACATAATGAGACCCTGTCTCAAAAAGGAAACAAAAGCGCCAGTAGAAAAGTTAAAACTGAGAAATGAAGTCAATAAAGTAAGACCTCGACGAGTGTGTGGAAAACATTAGAACAGCTGGATGAAAAGCTGCTAATCTGGGCCGGAGAGATGGCCCGGTGGATGGGTATTTGCTACTCTTGAGAGCACCCAAGTTCAGCTCCTAGCTCCCACATCTGGTGACTCACAACCACCTGTAACTCCCCAGCTCCAGGGGTCCAGTACCTTCCCTGGCCTCTGAGGGTGCACACACATGAACACACACACACACATGCACACAAGCAAATTATTAATCTAAGGAAGATTATAAACTAATCAATACAATAATACAATAAAAGAGAGCTAAAAGAAAGCCAAAAATATTGAACACAAAAGTGTCTTAAAGGGTTCAAAGAGAAGATCTAATGTCTGTTTAATCTGTGGAAGATTAAAGCAAAGAGGTGATGCAGAGTTCTACCGTTTAAGAGCCGGTGTCAAGGATGGGAGATGACCGTCTCCACGCCTGCTGGCCTGAACCTAAGCCCCTCTCCAAAGAGAGAACACTCACACACACACACACACACACACACAAATGAAAAATACAAAATAAAACTCCAAAGCACAGAACTCTATAAATCCAGTTCTCATAGATTCACAGAACAAGGGAATAAATAATCAGCGAAGAAACAGAGTACTTCAATTACAACTTCAGCTATTGAGAGATCAGCCATTAAATAACACATTTTCAAATACACATATATAATGTTTAGCAAAACAGGCCATTAATTCAAAGCAGAAGTTTTATAAATTTCAAGTGTGTGGGACCATCTTGTGTATATTCTGTCTTTTGTTTGCTTTGTTTTGGACACGAGGTTCCTCTGGGTGCCCTTGACTGTCCTGGACTCACTTTGTAGAGCAGGCTAGTGGAACTCACAGAGAGCCAGCCTGCCTCTGCTTCTCTGAGCGCTGGGCCTGCAGGTGTGCGCCACACCCAGCTATCTTGTGTATTTCTCTGGCCACACTTAAGCCAGAAGGTTGGGAAGAGCACAGGGACAGGAGGTCTGAGAAGTGTGACCCATGGTTCTCAGCCAAAGAGAAAGACCTCAAAGGAGGCAGGAGGGTGTTTCTAACTGAGCGCTGATGAAAGTACAATTTAAGCGCTTAGGTGAAGTTCATAATTCATTAAAAATGCAGCAGCAGAGGCAATTGGCAGCAGAGAGGCCTCCGTGGTGTGAAACCTTCAAGTCAGGCAGTGGCCTGAGAGTGCATATCAAGCAGAAAGGGTGTCCCCGGGATTTACCTGGGAGGGAAATTGGATCCTTAGTACTCCTCTCCAAGGATCTTGCCAAACGCCCCTTCATAAATCTTAAACACTGTGAACCTACCTTACTGTTTTTGTCTGAAGAGACCCAGCCCGGGCCCTAATTACCCTTCCTTGTTTTTGCTTTTTCGGGACAGGGTTTCCTCTGTGTAGCCGTGACTATCCTGGACTCACTTTGTGGACCAGGCTGGCCTGGAACTCACAGAGATCCTCCTGCCTCTGCCTCCCTGAGCTAGGATTACAAGCGTGCCTAGCGCCCGTGGCTCTTCATCACCTTCTAACTTGGTTACAAGGTCCCAACAGTCCTCCAGTCTCCCCATGGCGCTCATCTGCCCCCATGCCTTTCACTTGTGTATCCCAGGGCCTAGAATGATCTGCAGCGTCAGGGCCCACTGCTAGTACATCTGTCTCCTCCCACCCAGCCCCTCCGTGCTTTCCTCCCCCTCCGGTCAATCCGCTAGGCACTTGGGAGCCACCCGGAAAACCTGGGAGTTAACTAACACTAGTCCGGCCTGTCTCCCTCACTTTCATTCTCCTCTTAGGCCTTCCAGGGACCTCCAGCACACCTTTGCCTGTGCTCTTTAACCTTCTCTGACAGCCGTGACCTGTCAGATGATAACCGAGAGAGGCGTGTGTGAGCTGACAGATACAAAACCCCCAAAAAGGCTACCAGGCTACCAGGCCCTGGGACCTGCTCCGCATCAGCCTCGGCCCAACGCCTGCTGAAGGGCTGTTGGGTCGACTGGGGGTGTGAGTGACGGGGGACTTCACGACTGCCCTCGAGGCTGCGGGCCGGGAGTGGCCGCCGAAGGTCTCCTGGGCGCTCCTCACCAGCTGCAGGTCAGCCACCGTCCTGTCCGGCACGAGACTGTACACTTGGCTCCTCAGCGCGAGGGGAGGCAGCGCGTCCTCGAACAGCGCCCTAGGGAAGAGCTGCACGAGCTCCTGGACAGCCTTGCGCGCCGACCCTGCAGGGGAGCGCGGGGACAGGGATCAGGCCCGGGTCGGGGGCACGGGGAGGCCGCTGCTGCGTGGGATCCGGCGCCGCAGCCCTCAGCGCGCCCGCTGCCCTGTGCCCGGGTTGCCACGGTTGCCTACCCTAGGTCCTCCTCCTCGTGGTCCTCCTCCTCCTTTTCCTCCTTCTCCAAGGGTCCGCACCCTTGGGCCCCCCGCGACCGGGTAGCTATGGTTACCTACCCTGGGTCGTCCTCCGCCTCGGGTCCACACCCTCGGGCCCTCCGCGCTAGGGTTGCCATGGTTACCTGCGCCCGCCCTCAGAGGATCCGCTTTCGCGGGCCCCGGCTCCCGCCGCCGCTTCACCCCGAAAGCCTCGGACGCTAGGAGCTGTCTCTTGCGATTCATAGCCCGGGATCTCCCGGTTCCGGGAAAGTGCGCCTGAAGATGCAGACTTCCGGCGCAGAGTAATGACGACGCGGCCTCTGGCTGGTCGTCGGAGTCTGCTGACGTAGCTTCTGTCGCCCGCGCCGCTGCCGATTGGCCCTGTGGAGAGCCCCGGGGCGCGCGCTGAGGCGCGGCGTGGCCACCGCGACCCCACGGAGCCGCCGCCCGACCGCGCCGCCGCCCCCGCCCGCCTTGAGGGCGGACGGCCGCGTGCTCAGAGGCAACAGCTCGGCTTCGGCATCCCTCCCCGGCCTGACGCCGGAGGGAGGAGGCGGGCCGGGCTGGGAGCTTTGAGGCAACCCCAACTTTGCGCGAAGCCCGAACTCCTTGGGGCCGCCGCCTTTGCGGGGGTTGCAGGCTCTGCACTCCGCCCGGGACGGGCAGTCGCTGCGCCGCGCCCAGCCGAAGCCCGCGCGCCCTCGTCCCCCCTAAAAGGGGCGCGCTGTCCTCTCGGGAGCCGATGGAGCCCAGGGGCCCCAAGAGAAAGGCTGGGAGGACGGAGGCGGCGGGGCCCTGGAACAAGCTCGCCCGCCCGGCGCGCTCGCTGCGCACCGAGCCCGCCCTGTACCGCGGGCCGTTCCCCTTCTACCGGAGCCCTTCCGAGCTGGGCTGCTTCTCCCTGGACGCCCAGCGCCAGTACCACGGAGATGCCCGAGCCCTCCGCTACTACAGCCCGCCGCCCGCCCACGGCCCGGGCCCGGACTTTGACCTCAGAGATGGGTACCCCGACCGATACAAGCCCCGGGATGAGGAGGTCCAAGAGAGGCTGGACCACTTGCTGCGCTGGGTTCTGGAGCACCGACACCGGCTGGAGGGGTGAGCGGAGCTGGCGCGCACGCTCGCCCGGAGACCCGGCTCTCCCTCCTGGGGGTGGGGGAGCCGGATGGTGGCCAGTGGGGGCTCGAGTCACACCGTTAGACCCGAACTCCTCCTCCCCTCCCCAGGGGTCCGGGCTGGCTGGCCGCGGCCACGGTGACGTGGAGAGGGCACCTGACGAAGCTGCTGACCACGCCGTACGAGCGGCAGGAGGGCTGGCAGCTGGCCGCCTCGCGCTTCCAGGGGACCCTGTACCTCAGTGAGGTGGAGACCCCCGCGGCGCGAGCTCAGAGGCTCGCGCGGCCGCCCCTGCTCCGGGAGCTCATGTACATGGGCTACAAATTCGAGCAGTACCTGTGTGCAGGTGAGAGCCGCCCCGCCCGCGGGGGCCCTCCCCCTCCCTCGGAGGCCGACCGCCCCTCCCCTGCCGCTGCTTCTCTCCCCGTACAGACGAACCCGGAGGCTCCCCAGACCCCTCGGGGGAGGTAAACACCAACGTGGCCTTCTGCTCTGTGCTACGCAGCCGCCTGGGAACCCACCCTCTGCTGTTCTCCGGGGAGGTGGACTGCATAAACCCCCAGGCCCCGTCCACACAGCCCCCCGCCTGCTATGTGGAGCTCAAGACCTCCAAGGAGATGCACACCCCTGGCCAGTGGCGGACCTTCTACAGGTTGGGGCCAGGGGTGAGCAGCAGAGCCTAGGATAGAGCAGCAGCCTGGGGCGGGGATGAGGACCCGCTGACCCTGGGCCTCTCCTCTCAGACACAAGCTTCTGAAATGGTGGGCGCAGTCCTTCCTCCCGGGGGTCCCCCTTGTTGTCGCCGGCTTCCGGAACCCAGAAGGTCTTGTCTGTTCCTTGAAGACCTTTCCTACTCTGGAGATGTTTGAAAGCGTCAGGGTAAGGCTGTGCCGCAGCTGCTCCTTGTTCCCCCATCCCCTGTCCGAGGCCTCGGGTCCAGTGCCCTTTGCCGTTTGCCCTCCAGAACGACCCAGACGGCTGGAGCCCCTCTGTGTGCATGAACTTTTGTGATGCCTTCCTGAGCTTTGCCCAGACCACAGTTGTCCAGGACGACCCCAGGTAAGGCGGCCAGGTTCGGGCAGCACCTCTGCGGCCCAGCCGGGTCTCGGGCTTCAGTGCACCCCTCCCTCTGTCCCCAGGCTTGTCCACCTCTTCTCCTGGGAACCTGGTGGCCCAGTCACTGTGTCTGTCCATCGAGATGCACCCTATGCCTTCCTGCCCTCGTGGTATGTGGACGCTATGACCCAAGACCTCCCACCACTCTCGGAGGCTCCCCCTGCCAAGGATTGATGCTTCCGAGGACACACCAGCATGGTGTATGTGCAGAAAATAAAAGCGTGTTTCTAAGCGGGTCTCTTGCTGCGTCTCAATGGAGTCATCCTGCCCCATGAGCACTCTGGTTTGCTATTTCATTACACTTTTTTTTGTTGTTTTATTTCCCAACACAGGGTTTCACTGTAGACCAGGCTGAACCCAGAGATCTGCCGGCCTCTGCACCACCACCTCCTGGTTTCTTGTTACACTTTCATCCACACGCTTTACTGGGTGTAGAGGCTGGCTGCAAAGACAATGTCTCGCCGCAGCAGTGTGGCTGCTGTCTCCATCTTGGCGCCCAGCACAGGCTCTCCTACCAAACGCGCTGCTCCTCGAAGTGAGCGGCACATCTCAGCCAGGCGCTGGATGCAGCGGACCACCAGGCCTTCAGGGGTCCCTGAGAGCCCTGCCAACTCGGAGAAGGGCTGCAGGGAGAGCGAGGCGGAGACTCAGTGTGAGGCCTGGGCAACCTCTCCCAGCCAGCCACCGCCAAACCCAGGCACTTACCATGCCCCGAGCCCACTCATAGACCACCTCCACCAGCCCGAAATTCAGCTCTCCCACAAACTCCTCCACTGTCTGGTTGAGGCCACAGGCCACCTGAACCTCGCCGATGCGCTTGGCCACCGCTCTGACACGTTCTACCCCCTGCAGAGGGGAAAGGATGGGTCAAGGCTTCCGGCTCCAGGACCCAGAGGCCCTTAGCACACCCTGGGGGCATTTGCCAGAACTGATGGCCCCTACCTGTTTGAGGGTGCTCGGGAGCTGGTCCCCAGCATCTCCAGGACTCTGGCAGACCAGGCCAGAGAGAAGAGCCGCGATCTCCTCTGGCCGCAGGGCGCTTAGCGCGTTGTCAAACATGAGCTCTGTGAGGAGCAGCTCATGGCTGCTCATGGCGCAAGCCACTCGCCCTGCCAGCTTCACCGTGCCGGCCTCGTCCACATAGCCCAGGGTGCGGAGCACCTGCGGAGGGGGAGGTTGGGGAGCCCGCCTTCTCCCGAGCCCTGACCTCCCACTTGCCTCCCAGCCCCGCTCCCACCTCTACACGCTGGTGGTACTCGGGAAGCAGCAGCAGCGACTGGTCGGACAGGAGGAAGCGCAGCCTCTCCATTTCCTTCTGCATCCGCACTCGCTCCCGCAGCTTCACATACTGAGGAGAGCCAGGTTGGCGGCTGTCAGCCTGCCCCTTGACACTGTCCGGGGCACACAGCTGAGGGCCAGGAGCTGGGCTGCAGGGCACCAGGGAGGGACAGCTGCTTCTGCCTAGGAGCTACCTGGGCAGGGAAGCGGGGGCTGTGCACACACTGAGCGCCCCGGATCAGCTCCTCCAGCTTCCGGGCCCGGAGCCCACCTTCTACCACGGACACGTCCTTGAGCTGCAGGTCATTGACGGGGTCAAGAGTTGGGGGTCCTGCTGGGTAGGCCTGAGCCAGGCGCAGCAGCTCCTGAACGGCAGTAGTCACAGCTGCAAGGGGGGGCTCCTTCCTGAAGGGGGAGCAGGTTTTGTGATCTGGGCCAACAGGCTTTTTAGTTTTGGGTTTTCGAGACAGGGTTTTCCCTGGCTGTCCTGGACCTGCTTTGTAGACCAGGCTGGCCTCAAACTCAAGATCTGCCTGTCTCTGCCTCCCAAGTGCTGAGATTAAAGATGTGCGCCACCATTGCCCAGCTGCCAAGAGGCCTCTTTACTACAGGAGCCACCCCTTGGGCTGAGGAAGTCCCTCTGCACCCTATGTCATGGTCTCTTTTCACAGACACACCCACAGGTAACGTCTCTCCCTGGAAAGAGGCTCCCGAGGTCCTGACCTGAATTTCGGTTGCTGCCTCTTGGTGAAGTCCTCACAGATCTTCTCCCCGTTCACCCGGAGCACCTTGGTGGAGATGGCGGCCACCTCTCCTGGCTGGAGCTTGGCCACAGTGTGCTCACAGGGCCCTGGGAAGCGAGTCAGGTCAGGCTCCAGCACACCTGGGCATCTTGTTCACGCCACCACCGGGAAGCCAGGCACTGAAGGCTCTCACCTTCAGGCAGGAACAGCTTAAAGCCCACGAGGTCATCGGGATAGGGCACAGCTGGAGCGGCTGGCCCCTTGTCCCTGGCGCTCTCAGGCACGGCAGGCTTATCACACAAGACCAAAGCTGTAAACACTCTGCTGGCGGAGTTTGAAGAGACCTGTAAGAGGCAGAAAGGCCAGGGCAGAGACAGGAGATTGCACAGCAAATGTGGACATGGGACGACCGCCCTGGACACACACACACAGCCCTTAAGCTGTGGCCAACCAGAGCAACTAGAGCCGCTTGGGGTGAGGCGTAGAGGCACGGAGGTGACAGGGCGGTCGGCGCCCTCTGGTCCTCACCTGCAGGATCACACCTAGTGCGTTGTGATGCTCCTCGTTGTTCACGACCACCACCCTTCCCGCCGACAGAGATTTCAGCCCATTCACAGACTCCATGATGCGTCGCTGGAGAGCAGGACAGGCACAGGGATGGGGGGAAGTGAGATCAGGACACGAGGGCTAAGCTTGGGAGCACCGGCGCAACCCACTGTCCGTCTATCCCCCCCGCCCCAACACCCCGCTTCCTCACCTGGATCATGTTCCGGGTCTCTGTCAGCTCCTCCCCCCAGCTGTAGTAGTCAGGCAGGTCAGCCAACTGGCCAGTCACATCAGGCTCCTCCAGCGCCGCCAGCCTCTTGGTGAGTTCAGCCAGAGCCTGCTCGTGGGCCTGAGGAAGCGGAGGTGGTGACCAGTCTGCCAGGGCAGCCTGCTGCGCCCCTCTCCGCCCCTGCCTCCACATGCCCTCCGCCGGCTAGCCAGTGAGCGCAGGTCCGCAGGTCACCCTAGCC